TTGGTACCCCAAGCTGCCAATCTCTTCTGCCCGGGGCGTCCTGGATTTGAAGACGCGATGGTCTGCGCCCGCCTGCACAAAGCCTGGAAAGCCACCCAAGTGCAGGTGGCCGGGGAAGTCCTCCTCCTGAGCTCCCGTTCCCAAGCCACGCAAAAGGGAACCTTCGCGGTGCGAGGGCCCCTTGACCTGCCGACGTACTTCCGCCGGTCTATCTCGGTGATGCCATGGAGGTCGCCCAGGAACCCCTCGGACTGATCGAACCAATCTTTGATCAGCCTCTCCATGTCCTTGCTGGGGTCGTCAGAGGCCGGCGTGGCCCAGCAGGCCGGCTGCGGCTCCCGCTGTGGGCCGATGGGGACGTCGACGTCGAAGCGCTTGAATCTGACGGGCCGCTCCACTTCCCGAGTGCTCCTGAGACCAGTCAGCCGCAGCAGGATAGGGCTGTGCGGGCTACTCGGCGCACCGTCGAGCACAGCCACCTGCGTCACGCATGCCGCCAGAAGCTCGGCCACAACGAAGTAGTCCAGGACTCGCCCCGGGGACGTGTCGGAGGGCTTATCGTTCTCAACACCTTCCTGGCCGCTGGTTGCTGCCGTGCCGGCGCGGGGCGCACCGTCACGCAGAAGAGCGGGCTCCTGGGTCCGAGCCGGCAGGCACGTAGTACCCGGTGGCGCCACCATCGCGCCGCCCACTCTCTTCACCCAGCCCACGGACTCGAGCTCTCCAGGGGTCATGTTCCAGTCGCCCTGGACAATCCATGGCTCGCCTCTGCTCTGCAGGAATGTGCCCAGGGCCTGCAGCAAGTCCAAGTTCTCGCCGGTGGGGCCGATGGCCGTGACCCCGTAGACAGAGACGGCCAGAACGCCCCCGGGAAAGCCTGTGTTGAGGTGCCGCACCGCAATCCTGCTGGACCACGCCTCCAGCAGGTCTGGGACCAGAGAGCGAGAAGGGATGATGTCCTGAATCATGACGCCCACGCCGGAGGTGCTCTCCGTCGCCCCAGGCCCCGTCGAGTGAGCCATGCCTTGGGTCAGCTGCATGCGCCTAGCGCGGGCCCACGCATCAGCCGAAGTAGCCTTGCGCTCGGCTTTGATGCGGGTCTCCTGCACGAACGCCACATGGGGTCGAGGGCTGCTCTCGCCCAGCCCGAAGGAAGCGAAGTGGCCTTTCTTCACCTCGTCCGCGAGCCAGTCGGCCACCAGCGTGAAGGACTCCCAGCTGTTGGCATTGGCACCGAGCAGGACCACGTCAGCATGCTCCGGCGGCGGCGGCAACCCCTCGGCGAGGCTCCGACTCCACCACCAACGTCACCATGCGCCACGGCTGCCATGCTGCTAGCCGGCGCCACGCTCCCCTGGTCTCTCATACCAGGTTCACTCTCCTGCAACATCCGGCTCCCATGCGGGGAGCACCAGCTTGAAGGAAGGGGTAGAACTCCATGGGGTACAGCTGCCTAGGCTTGGCAGCTCGAGGTAGCCGGGGCTACCCGCGTGGCCTACTACCCTTGTGCTTGCCAATCTTGCCCTGCACCTTCTTGAACTGCTGGGGAATCCTTCGGCCCTCAGTTTCCAGCTGGGCCTTCTTAGCTTCGTTCTCTTCCGCCTCTCCTCCTCCTTCGAGGTCCTCCTCCATGGCCGTCTGAATGTAGAGGTCACGCTCTTCCTGTGGGAGCGCGTCCCAATCCACGATGACAGAACCGGCCTCGGATGCAGCAGCGACGCCAGCGGCGGGCGCCACAGCAGCGGGAGCAGCAGCATCACCACCAGGAGCCCGAGCGCCAGCCGCCGCGGGAGCCGCAGCCGAAGCCTGCTGCGCCTGAGCGTCCGCGGCAGCCTGGGCAACGACCTTGGGCACGAGATGCTCGCGGATGGGCCCCACGTACTGTCCGGTGAGCGCGGCACAACCGAGCCTCTCACCCATCTTCTCGAGGGAGGCCAAGGCGACCTCGAGCTGTCGAGCGGCCTCGGCAGCATTGTCCGTCGGGACGTTGCACGCCGCCTGCCCCGTCTCTGCCTCCACCCCCTTCGAGACAATCGCAAGCTGTGCCTGCATCTCCTTGATCTGCTGCGCATCCCTGTGGTTCTCCTCCTCCCACTCCTGGATGTGCTTGCGGGCCGTCTCGCACTTTGCCGTACGCTGCTCCACGACCTTCTTCTTCTTGGTGATCGCGTCCTGTAGCGTGCGAATCTGCGTAGCCGATGGCTTGTCGGCCAAGATCCGCTGCTGCAGGGTCTTGATCTCCGCCTCCTTGGCAGCCACAAGCTCCTCACCCTTAGGCATCTTGAGCTGCTTGAGGATCTCGAGGTCGTGCTTGAGGACGGCGAGGTCGTCCCGCAGGGCAACCTTGGCCGACTCCTCCAGGTCCTCCTCGGCCCCCCCCTTCCCGGCCTTGAGCTGCCGATTCTCCTGGCGGAGCTTGGCCAGCTCAGCGTCCTTCTCCTTGATCTGCGCCCCCTGACGCGCAGAGGACGAGGGCGCACCGCCTTCGCGGAGATCACGTAGATATGCAAGCTTCTTGTGCCGGCCGCACTTCTTGCACTCCTTCTCCGAGGGCATGTTGAAGTAGGGCTGGCCCCGGTTATTGACGCACTGGTTACAGACCCACTTCGCGAGGTCCCCCTTCGCCATGGCCGGCGCCGCAGAGCCGTGGTGCGAGTCGAGCTGGTAAGCCGCCTCCTCCAGGCGGCGCGCCAGGCGAGGCGTGAGCCGGCCGCGCCAAGCGTGTAGTAGATCGCGCGAGGCAGCATGCGCCGCCCGAGCCCGGTGATGCCGCGCGTCCTCTCGGGGCGCGGCGATGCCGGGCGAATGGTGCGCTAGTCTCAGCGCAGGATTGGTGCTGGAGAAAGTTCGTTGCTGGCGATGCAGCTGCCCCCAAAAGCCTCCTGCCGGCACCCCTGAGCCACAACTAGAGCCTTGAGCCAAAATGGCTACGGAGTGAGAAGGAGAAGGCCTTCTCAGAAGGCGGCGGGGCTCCTCAGAAGTCCTCGCGCCTTCTCAGAAGTCTTCTGGGCCTTCGGGAGAGGCCCAGGAAATTTCTCAGAAGGTCGGGGGACTTCCGAGCCTTCTGAGAAGGCCCGCCCTTTCTCGCTTCCCCCCAGGGTCGCCGCCGAACAGAGGCATTGACAGCCACGGCGGCGGCGACGACGGCGACCGGCCATCGCCGACTGGCGCCGATCTAGGTGAGACGTTCCAGGAGGGGCCTTGCCTTCGAGGATCGAAGGAAGTAAAACTAGGAGAAGGAGGAGGAGGATGAGGAGGAGGAGGGTCCTTGCATTTGTCGGCGGAAGGTCGGCGGACGCTGGCGGAAGTAAAGCTATGCCGCCTCCGCCAGCGGAAGCCGGCGCCGACCTGCGGCTTTTCGCAGTGGGGGCAACGGATCCCGAGTCCTGAGGGTGTTCTCCGTGCTCGGGCCCTCGGGGCCCTCCGTGGGCCCCGGGGCTGACAGAAGGTGGCTCGGGATGAAGATCTCGTCCCGGGGGGAAGGCCCTGGGGTCCAGGACTCGGGGGCGGCAAAGAGGGGGGTGATGCCTAGAGGGGGTGGATCTCATGGCGGGGGCCATGATATTTCCCCAGATTTCATGGCGCCTCTTCTTATTTCATTACGTCCCTGGCCCCCTCGCTGGGCCGCGCACATGCCGCCGGTCATGGTTTGCACACCCCACTCTTGGACACCCCCCTCCTGGCCGCTCCCGAAGGACCCGTTTCCCTGAGGGCCCGTGTCACCCATGCCAAGACGCTTGCCGACGCCG